ATAAAATGCTTTCTTATTTTTAATAATATTTTATTCATTTTAAAATTATTAAATAGAGAAAATAATTCTTTCCAAACATTCAAAATCATAACTATAGTGATTACTTAATAATTCATACAACTGTACAATTTCCAAGAATTAGAACATTGTTTTAGATGTTCATATTACAAATATAATGCATTAAAATATAATATTTTGGACTTGATGAAAAAATGGAGTAACTAAAAAATTGTTTGTAATAACCTAAGACAATTTCCTGAAAATTCCACCTGTATCCAGAAAATTGAAAAATATTATCAAAAAGGTTTTTTGGAATATGAGAAAATATACGGTGAAACCAGCGTTTACGTCTGTACAATTTAGATTTTGCTCTTCCTAATTTACATTGTTGATCATCCAATAATTGAGTCCCACCATGTATCATTAAATGTAAACTATGAACATAAGACAATATAAGGTTTCATTTTGTGAGAAATATGGTTGAGAAAGGCCTGATTAGTCTGGTAAAAATTCCTAGCGAATCCAATTCATTTGATCTTGGAATCAAGGTACTGTCTTTAAATAAATTCAAAAACTGCTTGAAGATTATCACTTGAAAGGTTGTGAATTTAGAATGTCAACCTGTATTGTTTTAAATGTTTACTAACTTTGTTTATTTTCTTTTTACAGGTAAATAAAAGCAAACGAAACAAGTTGATGTCGAGATGCACTAGTTAATGACAAGAATAGTTCATCAACAGCAAGGTCGAGATTGTTATGTTTGGGCTGACTTACTTTTATTGGANATGCCAAGAATAGTTTAGCAACAGCAAGGTCGAGATTGTTATGTTTGGACTGCCTTACTATTATTGGACTTGGGCTGTTAGTACTGGACTTCCGGGTTATAACTTGATAAGTCGTGTTTTGTGAAAATGCAAATTTTGCCTCATTAATGGTGTGATCTAGCCGTATACACGACCATCTCCCAACATTGGGATCTGTGTGACTCTTGGATTGATACTTTTAGCGTTATAATTCTTTGTGCCTTGGTGTTGGTTGATATTCTGATTGATTTTCTAGAGTTTTCTCTATGAATTATATACTCTTCTTTGTGTTTGTAATCTTCTTGAGAGATTTCTTGGTTGTATTTAGTGTAGAATCTGAGAGATTGTGAGGAGTATACTTTGTTGCAATAATAAAGAGGCGAGAGAAAACTTTCAGTGAAGAAATCTCTTCACACATTTTGTAACGATTCTTTGTTGATTCTGGTGGATCTAAGACTATATTTACTTGTATATGCTCAACGAGTTATTAGGCCGAAAGCTGAACATCTGGGACCTTCGTGGCAAAACAATTTTATCTGTTCTTGTTATTTTTTATTTCTGTTCTTGCAAACATTTGTTTAAACTGGGTTACACAGCATGGGCGGAGATAGGGGTAGGCTGGGGTGGGCTGTAGCCCACCCTTGCCTAAGCCCAGGTCCTATAAATTTTTTATTTTATTTTTATTTTTATCAAAGCCCAAGTTTTCCTCTTTCCAGCCCAATAGCCCGCCGTCCAAGTCCAACCCAGCCCAATTCCCACATAAAACTAAACCCAATTCCCACCCAATTAAACCCAAATCCCGCCCTATCCCATGAAAATGACTTAAAATCCTCAATTAAACCAGAGAAGCCAGCACTGCAAAAGACTCGAACTCCACAGT